CCCCACATCCCCCATCCCCCATACACCCCCTATACCCCATATCCCATATACCCTATACACACCCCCATACCCCCCATATCCCCCCATACCCCATATTCCCCATAACCCACACCCCATTCCCCCCATACCCCATACCCCATATACCCCTTACCCCATATACCCCATACACCCCCCATATACCCCGCATACCCCCTATACCCCATATCCCATACACCCCCCATACCCCCTATACCCCATATCCCATACACCCCCCATACACCCCCCATACCCCATTCCCCCCCACACCCCCCATACCCCCCCCAGTGCCCCCCCCAGCCGCGGCTCACTCACGGCTGCCCCAGATGAATCCCTGGAGCTGCCTGCGCAGGAAATCCCGCTCCTCCTCCAGGTCCTGGATCCGCTTCTGGAGCCAGGAATTGCGCTCCAGGGCCAGGCTCAGCTGCACCCGCGGGCCGGGGGGGTCTGCGGGACCCCCAACCTCAGCCCCACAGCCGGGGAATGGAGCCCCAGCCCCACAGCCATGGGGCTCAGCCCCACAGGCACCCACCTTCATAGGCGCCCGGGGGGGGGCTGATGCTGTAGAACAGGGGGGGCTCCACCGGGGGGGGCTCCTCGAAGGGGAGCGAGACCTCAAAGGTCTCCTCGTCCTTTTTGACTGGGGGGGCATCAATGGGACCCACATCAGTGGGACCCACATCGATGGGACCAACATCAGTGGGACCCACATCAGTGGGACCAACATCAGTGGGACCCACATCAGTGGGACCCACATCGATGGGACCCACATCAATGGGAACCACATCAGTGGGACCCACATCAGTGGGACCCACATCGATGGGACCAACATCAATGGGACCCCCATCAGTGGGACCCCCATCAGTGGGACCCACATCGATGGGACCAGCATCAGTGGGACCAACATCGATGGGACCAACATCAGTGGGACCCACATCAATGGGACCCCCATCAGTGAGACCCCCATCAGTGACCCCCCCAATGGGTCCATGCCCCCACATCAATGAGACCCACATCAATGAGACCCACATCAATAAGCCCCCATTGGGGTCCTTTTCCCTCCCATCAATGAAACTCCCATCAATGAACCCCCCCCATGACCCCCCCATCAATGACCCCACATTGGGGTCCATTTCCCCCCATCAATGACCCCGCCATCAATGACCCCCCCATCAATGACCCCCCAATGGGTCCATGAGCCCCCCCATCAATGAGACCCCCATCAATGACCCCCCCATCAATGACCCCCCAATGGGTCCATGAGCCCCCCATCAATGAGACCCACATCAATGACTCCCCCATCAATGACCCCCCAATGGGTCCATGAGCTCCCCCATCAATGAGCCCCCCATCAATGAGACCCTCATCAATGAGACCCACATCAATGACCCCACACTGGGGTCCATTCCCCCCCCATCAATGAGCCCCCCCATCAATGAGCCCCCCATCAATGAGCCCCCCATCAATGACCCCACATTGGGGTCCATGACCCCCCATCAATGACCCCCCCATCAGTGTCCCCCCAAATGGGTCCATGCCCCCCCATGAATGAGCCCCCAAGGGGGTCCATGAACATCCCCATCAATGACACCCCCTTGAGGCCCTGTCAGTGACCCCCCCAATGGGTCTATGGCCCCCCATCAATGACACCCCAAATGGCTCCATGCCCCTCTATCAATGACCCTCCCATTGGGGTCCATGCCCCCCCCCATCATTGTCACCCCCAAATGGCTTCATGCCCCCCCCCCCATCAATAACCCCCCATTCTGGTCCATTCCCCCCCATCAATTACACCCCCCATTGGGGTCCATGCCCCCCACCCATGACAGCCAATGGGGTCCATGCCTCCCCATCAGTGACCTCCCCATTGGGGTCCATGATCCCCCATCAATGACCCCCCCAACTGGGGTCCATGCCCCCCCCCAATGACACCCAATGTGGTCCATGCCTCCCCATCAGTGACCTCCCCATTGGGGTCCATGATCCCCCATCAATGACCCCCCCAACTGGGGTCCATGCCCCCCCCCCAATGACACCCAATGTGGTCCATGCCCCCCCATCAATGACCCCCCCATTGGGGTCCATGCCTCTCTATCAATGACCCCCACATGGGGGTCCATGCTCCCCCATCAATGACCCCCCCATTGGGGTCCATACCTCCCCATCAATGACACCCATTGGGGTCCATGCCCCTCTATCAATCACCCCTCCCCATTGAGGTCTATGCCCCACCATCAATGACACCCATTGGGGTCCATGCCCCCTCATCAGTGACCCCTCCATTGGGGTCCATGCCCCCCATCAATTACCCCCCCCATTGGGGTCCATGCCCCCCCAATCAATGACCCCCACATTGAGGTCCATGCCTTCCCATCAGTGACCCCTATTGGGGTCCAATGCCCCCCCCATGGTTCCCCCATCATGCCCCCCCATGGGTTCCCAATGCCCCCCCCATGGGTCCCAATGCCCCCCCATGGACCCCAATGCCCCCCCCATGGGGTCCAATGCCCCCCCATGGGGGTCCCAATGCCCCCCCATGGTTCCCAATGCCCCCCCCCATGGTTCCCAATCCCCCCCCATGGGTCCCAATGCCCCCCCATGGTTCCCAATGCCCCCCCATGGATCCCAATGCCCCCCCATGGTTCCCAATGCCCCCCCCCTGGGTCCCAATGCCCCCCCCATGGATCCCAATGCCCCCCCCATGGTTCCCAATGCCCCCCCATGGGTCCCAATGCCCCCCCATAGGTCCCAATGCCCCCCCATAGGTTCCAATGCCCCCCCCAATGCCCCCCCATGGTTCCCAATGCCCCCCCCCATGGGTCCCAATGCCCCCCCATGGGTCCCAATGCCCCCCCCATGGGTCCCAATGCCCCCCCCATGGTTCCCAATGCCCCCCCATGGTTCCCAATGCCCCCCCCATGGTTCCCAATGCCCCCCCCATGGATCCCAATGCCCCCCCCATGGTTCCCAATGCCCCCCCATGGATCCCAATGCCCCCCCCATGGATCCCAATGCCCCCCCATGGGTCCCAATGCCCCCCCCATGGATCCCAATGCCCCCCCATGGTTCCCAATGCCCCCCCATGGGTCCCAATGCCCCCCCCCATGGATCCCAATGCCCCCCCATGGATCCCAATGCCCCCCCATGGGTCCCAATGCCCCCCCCATGGTTCCCAATGCCCCCCCCATGGGTCCCAATGCCCCCCCCATGGTTCCCAGGCACCTCCCGCACCGCGACCTCCCCATAAGGGGACCCAATCCCCTTTCCCCCTCCCCATAGAGCCCCACAGGGGTGCCCATGGGGGGGGTTGGGGGTCCATTGGGGTGCCCATGGGGGGGTTTGGGGTCCATTGGGGTGCCCATGGGGCGGTTGGGGGTCCATTGGGGTGCCCATGGGGGGGGTTGGGGTCCATTGGGGTGCCCATGGGGCGGTTGGGGGTCCATTGGGGTGCCCATGGGGGGGGTTGGGGTCTACTGGGGTGCCCATGGGGCGGTTCGGGGTCCATTGGGGTGCCCATGGGGGGGTTGGGGGTCCATTGGAGTGCCCATGGGGGGGTTGGGGGTCCATTGGGGTGCCTATGGGGGGGTTCCCAGCGCTCACCCCGCTCCGCATCCTCCCGGCGGCCGCCGCCCGTGCGTGAAGAGGCGCAGGGAGCGATGGCGAAGGGAGCGCTCTATAGGTGCCTATGGGGGGGATCTATGGTGGGGGGGGGGGGCTATGGAAAAGGGGGGGGGGCCACAACCCCCGCTCCTCCCCTCCCCCCAACCCCCACCCCTCCCCCCACGCCCCCGTTTCGGCTCCGTTCGGGCGCGGTTCTTGCGCGATGCTCCCTGAGCCCCCTCCCCCCCTCCCCCATCACCCCGGAGAGCAAAGCGATCGCAGGGCGATAAGGGGGGAGGGGAGCTGTATCGCGATAGAGGGGGGGGGGGGAAGAGGAGGTATCGCGATATCCTGCTGCGGGGGGGGTTGGGGGGGGGGGTTGGGGGATGCTCCGCGTTGTTTCCACCCGGACTCCAAACGCTGCGGCACCACCGCGGGTCCGATGGGGGGGGGGGGGCCCCGATGCGGCGGCCCCGGAGACCCCCCCCCGACCCCCCCCCCGGTGCTGAGCGGGCCGCGATGAAGGGCCCGGGGCGCGGAGGAGCCGGGAGGTAACGGAGGGGGGGGGCACGGGGGGGCGGGGGGACACCCCTGGACCTGCCCCATAACCGCGATGGGGAGGGGAGGGGGGGTCCGCATCTGCCCCACACATCCCCAGAGCCCCCCCATGGGGACCCCAAGGGGTGGGACCCCCGTATCTGTGCCCTCCATATCCCCCCCCATGAGGACCCTGGTGCTTGGGACCCCCATCGGCTCCCCCACTGGGGCCTGTGCCCCCCGGAGCCCCCCCGTGAGCACCCTGATCCCTGGACCCCTGTATCCCCTCCATTGGGACCCCAATACCTCTGCCCCCCATAGCCCCCCACCCATTAGGACCCCCCCCCCATGTCCCCCTCCGTATCTGCTCCCCATTGTGATCGCTGCCCCCCGTATCCCCCCACATTGGGTTCCCAAGACCCTTCCATTAACCCCCCCCTCTCCTCTCCCCACAGCTCCCCCCCTCCTCCCGCTACCCCCCCCCCCGCAGAGCCGCCCCCCGCCCCGGGGGGTCGTTACCTGCTCATCGACGCGCAGGGGCTGCCCTACACGGTGCTGGTCACGGACAGCGGCGGCGCTGCAGTTACCAACAGTGACCACAGCGCGGCGCTGCGGTGCAATACCGCCAATGACCACAGCGTGGCGCTGCGGTGCAATACCGCCAATGACCACAGCGCAGCGCTGCGGTGCAATACCGCCAATGACCACAGCGTGGCGCTGCGGTGCAATACCGCCAATGACCACAGCGCGGCGCTGCGGTGCAGTCCCAGCAGTGACCACAGCGCGGCGCTGCGGTGCAATACCACCAATGACCACAGCGTGGCGCTGCGGTGCAATACCGCCAATGACCACAGCGTGGCGCTGCGGTGCAATACCACCAATGACCACAGCGCTGCGGCGCGGTGCAGTCCCGGCAGTGACCACAGCGCGGCGCTGCGGTGCAATCGCACCGGTGACCACAGCGCGGCGCTGCGGTGCAATACCGCCAATGACCCCAGCGCTGCGGTGCGGTGCAGTCCCGGCGGTGACCACAGCGCGGCGCTGCGGTTCAATGCCACCAATGACCCCAGCGCTGCGCTGCGGTGCAGTCCCGGCGGTGACCACAGCGCGGCGCTGCGGTTCAATGCCACCAATGACCACAGCGCGGCGCTGCGGTGCAACCCCAACAGTGACCACAGCGCGGCGCTGCGGTCCGCACCCATCAATGACCACAGCGCTGCGGTGCGGTGCAGTCCCACCGGTGACCACAGCGCGGCGCTGCGGTTCAATGCCACCAATGACCACAGCGCTGCGGTGCGGTGCAGTCCCACCGGTGACCACAGCGCGGCGCTGCGGTTCAATGCCACCAATGACCACAGCGCTGCGGTGCGGTGCAATCCCAGCGGTGACCACAGCGCGGCGCTGCGGTTCAATGCCACCAATGACCCCAGCGCTGCGGTGCGGTGCAGTCCCACCGGTGACCACAGAGCGGCGCTGCGGTTCAATGCCGCCAATGACCCCAGCGCTGCAGTGCGGTGCAGTCCCACCGGTGACCACAGAGCGGCGCTGCGCTGCCCGGAGTGCGGTCGCGCGTTCCCGTTCCCGTCCTACCTCCGCCGCCACCGCATCGCGCACTCCCCGCACAAGCCCCACGAGTGCCGGGCCTGCGGCAAGGCCTTCAAGCGGCGCTCGCACCTGGAGCGGCACCGGGTGAGCCACGGCGGGCGCCAGCCCCACGCCTGCGCCCTCTGCCCGCGCCGCTTCCGCCACCCCGGCGAGCTGGGGCAGCACCAGCGCGTGCACAGCGGCGAGCGCCCCTTCCAGTGCGCCCTGTGCCAGCGGCGCTTCGGGGAGCGCGGGGCCCTGCGCAGGCACCTGCGGAGGAAGAGCCACGCGAGGGCGTGAGGGTGGGGGGGAAGGGGGGTGGGATGGGGGTTCCATGGGGGTTGGGATGGGGGGGGGTGGTCAATGGGGTGGGGATGGTGGTCATGGGCTCGGCATGGTGATGGGGTGGAACCAGGGGGCATCATGGAGGGATGGTGGCCAATGGGGTGGGGATGGTGGTCATGGGCTCGGGATGGTGATGGGGTGGATCCAGGGGGCTTCATGAAGAGATGGTGGCCCCATAGAGGGCACTGGGGAGAGATGGGGCTCATCATATAGGGATGGTGGCCAAGGGGGTGGGGACATGGAAGGATGGTGGCCCTCTGGAGGTCATCATAGAGGGGTGGTGGCCAATGGAGAGGGGATGGTGGTCATGGGCTCGTCATGGCGATGGGGTGGATCCAGGGGGCATCATGGAGGGATGGTGGCCCCATAGAGGGCACTGGGGAGAGATGGGGCTCATCATATAGGGATGGTGGCCAAGGGGGTGGGGACATGGAAGGATGGTGGCCATATGGAGGTCATCATAGAGGGATGGTGGCCAGTGGGATGGGGGTGGTGGCCATGGGCTCATCATGGTGATGGGGTGGATCCAGGAGGGCATCATAGAGAGATGGTGGCCCTATGGAGGTCACCATAGAGGGGTGGTGGCCAATGGGGTTCAGACATAGAAGGTTGGGGGCCCCATGGGGGCCTCATCATAGAGAGATGGTGGCCAATGGGGTGCGGATGGTGGCCATGGGCTTGGCATGGTGATGGGGTGGATCCACGGAGTATCATAGAGGGGTGGGGGCCAATGGGGTGGGGATGGTGGTCATGGGCTCGGCATGGTGATGGGATGGATCCAGGGGGCATCATGGAGGGATGGTGGTCCCATGGAGGTCACTGGGGAGAGATGGGGCTCATCATATAGGGATGGTGGCCAATGGGGTGGGGACATGGAAGGATGGTGGCCCTATGGAGGTCATCATAGAGGGGTGGTGGCCAATGGGGTGGGGACATGGAAGGATGGTGGCCCTATGGAGGTCATCATAGAGGGGTGGTGGCCAATGGGGTGGGGATGGTGGCCCCATAGAGGTCACCATAGAGGGGTGGTGGCCAATGGGGTGGGGATGTGGAGGGATGGTGGCCCTATGGAGATCACCATAGCGGGGTGGTGGCCAATGGCGGTGGTGGAATGGGAGGTGGAGGCCATGGGGCTCATCATGGAGAGATGGCGGCCGATGGGGGGGGGGAACGGGACACAGAGGGCTGGTGGCCATGGGGCTCAGTGCTGCTCAATGGGGTTCAATGTGTGGGGCCGGTGGCTCCATTGGGGGGGGGGGGTCTTGGATGGTGGAACTTGGGGGCCGATGGGTTGGGGTCCTGGGGCCCTTTCCAGAGCGATGCTGCCCAACCCCCCCCCCCCCCCCCCCCAGCCCCCCAAGTCCATTCCCATTAAAACCGCTTGGATTTTCCCATTTCTCTGCTGGTGCCTCATTGAGAAAACTGGGACCCCCCCCGTGACCCCCATGGAGCCCCCCCATTGACCAGTGACCCCCCCATAGACTCCCATTGATCCCAGGGTCCCCCCAACCCCTCAGAGACCACCCAGTGACCCCCATTACCCCCCATAGAAGCCCCATTGATCCAATTGAACCCTCATTGATCCCACTGCACCCACATTTGAACCCCCATTAATCCCATTGACCCCCCATTGATCTCATTGCACCCCCATTTGAACCCCCATTAATCCCATTGACCCCCCATTGATCTCATTGCACCCCCATTTGAACCCCCATTAATCCCATTGACCCCCCATTGATCTCATTGCACCCCCATTAATCCCATTGACCCCCCATTGATCCCATTGCACCCCCATTGATCCCATTGAACCCCCATTGATCCCATTGACCCCCCATTGAATCCCCATTGATCCCATTGTACCCCCATTGAACCCCCATTAATCCCATTGCACTCCCATTGACCCCCCATTGATCCCATTGATCTCCCATTGCCCCCATGGAACCCCCATTGATCCCATTGCACCCCCATTGCTCCCACTGAACCCCCATTGATGCCATTGCACCCCCATTGATCCCATTGACCCCCCATTGCCCCCACTGAACCCCCATTGATCCCATTGACCCCACATCCCGTTGCACCCCCACTGATCCCATTGTACCCCCATTGCCCCCCCATTGAATCCCCCCCAAGCCCAGGTCCCATTGGGGTCTCAGCACTTCAATGGCTCCAGCGCTGCGCTGAGCTGGGCCTGGGCTCAGCCCCACAGGGAACACACGTGTTGGAGCATGTAGAGCCATGTTGGAGCATGTAGAGCCATGTTGGAGCATGAAGAGCCATGTTGGAGCATGTAGAACCATGTTGGAGCATGTAGAACCGTGTTGGAGCATGGAGAGCCATGTTGAGCCGTGCTGCACCATCCCAAGAGCCCTTGCCTTGTGCCGTGTGCTGCTCCGTGCCAGGCCATGAGGAGCCGTGTTGGGCCGTGTATCACACATGGCAGCCCATGATGAGCCATGCATCACACATGACAGCCCATGATGAGCCATGCATCACACGACAGCCCATGATGAGCCATGCGTCACACATGACAGCCCATGATGAGCCATGTATCACACATGGCATCCCATGATGAGCCATGTGTCACACATGGCAGCCCATGATGAGCCATGTATCACACATGACAGCCCAGGATGAGCCATGTATCACACATGACAGCCCATGATGAGCCATGTATCACACATGACAGCCCATGATGAGCCATGTATCACACATGACAGCCCATGATGAGCCATGTATCACACGACAGCCCATGATGAGCCATGTATCACACACGGCAGCCCAGGATAAGCCATGTATCACACATGGCAGCCCATGATGAGCCATGTATCACACATGACAGCCCAGGATGAGCCATGTATCACACATGGCAGCCCATGATGAGCCATGTATCACACATGACAGCCCAGGATGAGCCATGTATCACACATGGCAGCCCATGATGAGCCATGTATCACACATGGCAGCCCATGATGAGCCACGTATCACACATGACAGCCCATGATGAGCCATGTATCACACATGACAGCCCATGATGAGCCATGTATCACACGACAGCCCATGATGAGCCATGCATCACACACGGCAGCCCATGGTGATCCATGCATCACACACGACAGCCCATGATGAGCCATGTATCTCACATGGCAGCCCATGATGAGCCATGTATCTCACATGGCAGCCCATGATGAGCCATGTATCACACATGACAGCCCATGATGAGCCATGCATCACACATGGCATCCCATGATGAGCCATGTATCTCACATGGCATCCCATGATGAGCCATGTATCACACATGACAGCCCAGGATGAGCCATGTATCACACATGGCAGCCCATGATGAGCCATGTATCACACATGGCATCCCATGATGAGCCATGTATCTCACATGGCATCCCATGATGAGCCATGTATCACATAGCAGCCGATGTATCACACGTGATAGCCCATGTACCACACATTAACCCATGTCGACCCATCTATCAGACATGACAGCCCATGTATCACCCATTAGCCCATGCTGACCCATGTATCAAGTGTCAGCCCATGTTGACCCATGTATCACTCATGTTAGCCCATGTTGACCCATGTATCACGTGTCAGCCCATGTTGACCGATGTATCACATGACAGCCCATGTATCACACGTTAGCCCATCGGACCCATGTACCACACATGTTAGCCCATGTTGACCCAGGAATCACTCATGTTAGCCCATGTTGACCCATGTATCATACATTAGCCCATGTTGACCCATGTATCACTCATGTTAGCACACGTTGACCCATGTATCTATCACATGTGTCAGCACACGTTAGCCCATGTTGACCCATGTATCATACGTTAGCCCATGTGGACCCATGTACAACACATGTTCACCCACATTGACGCATGTATCACACAGCCCATGTACAACACGTGTTAGCCCATGTTGACCCATGTACCACAGGTGAGCCCATGTTGACCCATGTATCATACATTAGCCCATGTGGAACCATGTACAACACCTGTTTGCCCACGTTGACCCATGTATCACACGTGTTAGCACATGCTGACCCATGTATCACTCATGTTAACCCATGTTGACCCATGTATCCTACGTTAGCCCATGTGGACCCATGTACAACATGTGTTCGCCCACGTTGATGCATGTATCACACGACAGCCCATGTATCACAGGTGAGCCCATGCTGACCCATGTATCACATGTGGAAGCCCATGTTGACCCATGTATCACACGTGGAAGCCCATGTTGACCCATGTATCACACGTTAGCCCATGTTGACCCATGTATCACAGGTGAGCCCATGTTGACCCATGTACCACACGTGGAAGCCCATGTTTACCCATGTATCCAACGTTAGCCCATGTTGACCCATGTATCCTACGTTAGCCCATGTACAATGTGTTAGCCCACATTGACCCATGTATCACACGTGAGCCCATGTTGACCCATGTATCACACGTGAGCCCATGCTGACCCATGTATCACACGTGACCCCATGCTGACCCATGTATCACATGTGTTAGCCCAACTTGATGCATGTATCACACGACAGCCCATGTATCACACGTGAGCCCATGTTGACCCATGTATCACTCATGTTAGCCCATGTTGACCCATGTATCACACGTGAGCCCATGCTGACCCATGTATCACACGTGAGCCCATGTTGACCCATGTATCACACGTGTTAGCCCAACTTGATGCATGTATCACACGACAGCCCATGTATCACACGTGAGCCCATGTTGACCCATGTATCACTCATGTTAGCCCATGTTGACCCATGTATCACACGTGAGCCCATGTTGACCCATGTATCACTCGTGTTAGCCCATGTTGACCCATGTATCACACGTGAGCCCATGTTGACCCATGTATCACTCATGTTAGCCCATGTTGACCCATGTATCATGCGTCAGCCCCCGCTGACCCACCTATCACACATGGCAGCCCACGCACGGCCCACGCCAGCTCCCGCTGACCCATGGAGCACCCCCTAATAAGCGCCAGCCCCTCCCCCCCAACCCCCCCCTTCACCCCATTCCCCCCCCCCTCCCCCCCCAACCCCCTCACCCCTCCTTCTCCCCCCCCCCACCCCTCCCCTTGCCCCCCACGCCCCGGCTCCTCCGCGGTGCCCGGCGCCGGCGCCGGCAGCTCCGGTGCCCGAGAGCGCAGGCCAGATGGAAGAAGCTCTTCCCGCAGCGCTCGCAGCCGTAGGCGCCGTGGTGCCCGCGCCGGTGCTCCAGGAGGTTCCGGCGGTACCGGAACCGGCACCCGCAAGCGCGGCACCGCCGCCGCCGGGCCCCGGCTCCGTGCTGCAGGCGCTGGTGCTCGCCGAGGGCCGCGGGCGCCGCGAAGCGTCGCCGGCACAGGGCGCACTTGAAGGCGCGGGCGGCCGCGTGCACCAGGCGGTGCCGGCGCAAGGCCCAGCGGTGCCGGAAGCGCCGGGCGCAGGCGCCGCACGCCAACGGCCGCTCCTCGCCGGGGCACCGGCGCCGGTGCCGCCGCAGCAGCGCCGCGGCCCAGAAGCGCCGCCCGCAGGCGCGGCAGCGGGTCCGGTGCCGCCGCCGGTGCCGTAAGAGCTCGAAGGCGCCCGGGAAGCGCCGCCCGCACTCGGAGCAGGCCGGGGCCCGCCGCGGCGCCGGCAGGTGCCGGTATTTGTGCGTCACCAACGCTAGGAAGCGGCGGAAGCTGCGCCCGCAGCGCGCGCACGTGAAGCGCTCGGCGCTCGGCACCAACGGCGGCGGCTCGGGCGGCTCCGGCGTCGCCGGCAGCAGCCGCTCGGGCGCCGGTTGGTGGCTCAGTTTGTGCCACATGAGGCTCTCCAGGAAGCCGAAGGCTTTGCCGCAGGCGTCGCAGCCGTAGGGCTTGTCGGCGGCGTGCGCTTCCTTGTGGCCCACGGCGCGCAGCAGGTCCGGGAAGCGCTCGCCGCACTCGGCGCAGCCGTAGCTGAGCCCGTCGGCGGCGCCGGCGCCGGGCAGGCGATGGATCTGCTTGTGGCGGGTGAGGCTCTGCGGGTAGCCGAAGGCCTTGCCGCACAGCTCGCACTTGTAGGGCCGCTCGCGCGTGTGCACCACGTGGTGCTTGCTCAGGTGGAAGGACTCGCGGAAGCGCTTCCCGCACACGGCGCACTGGTGCGGCTTCTCCCCGGTGTGGATGCGCTCGTGGCGCTTCAGCGTCTCGCGGCGCCCGAAGCAGCGCCCGCACACCCCGCACCCGAAGCTCTTCCCCGTTGGCAGCGCCTTGCCGCCGGCAGGGAAGGCTTTGGGCACGCCGGGGTAGGCGGCGTGGAGCTGCCGGTGCCGCAGGAGGCTCTGCGGGGCGGCGTAGGCTTTGCCGCAGACGTCGCAGGCGTAGCCGGGGCGCGGGGCGCCGTGCGCCGCAGCCTGGTGCCGCAGCAGGTAGGCCGGGTCGCGGAACTCCTTGCCGCAGGCGCCGCAGGGCACGCGGAGGAGCCCCGAGTGGGTCTTGACGTGGCGCGTGAGGCTCTCGCGCCGGTTGAAGCTCTTGGAGCACACGGAGCAGGTGAAGGGCTTCTCGCCCGTGTGGATGATCTGGTGCTGGTGAAGGTGGCTGGGCTTCTTGAACACCTTCCAGCACAAGGGGCACGTGAAGGGGCCCTCCGAGGCCGCGGCGCTCGCAGCCACCGCCACGCCGCCGACGGGAGCCGGCAGGAGCGCGCCCGGAGCCAGCAGGAGGCCAGCGGGAGCCGGGATGAGGCCGCTCGGCGCCAGGGCGACGCCGCTCGGTAACGGGTTGAGGCGGGGGGCGCTTGGGTTGGCCCCCGCGGGCGCTACGGTGACTCCATTGGGTGCCACGGTGACCCCACTGGGTGCTACGTGAACCCCGCTCGCCAATGGGTTGACTCTCGTGGCGGTCGCGTTGACTCCACTCAACGGGTTGACCCCACTGGGTGCCACGCTGACCCCATGGGGCGCCGCGCTGACGCCGACCACCAAGGCGTTGACTCCATTGGGCGCCGCGTTGACCTCATTGGGAGCCACGCTGACCCTGGTGGGTGCCACGGTGACGCCGCTCACCAAGGCGCTGACCCCGTTGGGCACCACGTTGACCTCGCTGGCCACCGCGTTGACTCCATTGGGCGCCACGTTGACCGCATTGGCTGCGTGGACTCCATTGGGTGCCACACTGACAGCACTGGGCGCACTGACTCCACCGGGCGCGTTGACCCCATTGGCTGCCACACTGACCACGTTGGCTGCATTGACTCCACTGGGCGCCACGCTGACCGCATTGGGTGCATTGACCCTATTGGGCGCCACGTTGACCGCGTTGGGTACATTGACCCCATTGGGTGCCACGTTGACCGCACCGGGCGCATTAACCCCATTGGGTGCCACGTTGGCTGCATTGACTCCACTGGGTGCCACGTTGACCACATTAGGTGTATTGACTCCACTGGGCGCCACGTTGACCACATTGGTTGTATTGACCCCATCGGTCACCACGTTGACCACGTTGACTCCATTGGGCGCACTGACCCCACTGGGCACCACGTTGACCCCATTGGGCGCCACGTTGAGCCCGGACGCGGCAGCCACCCCCCCGTTGGCTCCGGCGCCGGCCTCGCCGGGCTCCTTATGGCAGCGCCGGTGGCGGATGAGGCTGGAGACGTGGTTGTAGGCACGGCCGCAGGTGCCGCACTCGTAGGGCCGCTCACCGCTGTGCACCAGCATGTGCTGCACCAAGTGCGACGACTGCTTGAAGGCCTTCTGGCACACGCCGCAGGGGAAGCGCCGCTCCATCAGGTACTTGAGGCGGCGGAAATAGCCCTTCTCCTCCTTGGCCCCCACCTCCGGGGGGGCGCCGGCCAGCTGGGGGGGGTTCCCCGGTGCCGCCGTGGCCACCGTGGCCCCTCGTTTCAGCCCCCCAAAGAGGTGCTGGTGGTGGCCGGACAGGTCCACGATGCCCCATTGCGGGGTGTTGAAGGCGCTGGTGGCCTCAAAGAGGGGTTGGGGGGGCACGGAGACGGGAGGGGGGGGGTATGGGGGGGCTGGGGGTTGGACCCCCCCGCTCCCCTCTGCTTTCTTAGGCTGGGAGGAAGAGGAGGAGGAGGAGGAGGAGGAGGAGGAAGCGGCACCTTCCACCTTAGGCTTGGGGGGGGGGACGGTGCCGGAGGGGGGGTTGTACTCAAAGGGGGGCTGAGCGCAGGGGAGCCCCGGCAGGGCTTTGGGGTGCTCGTGGCCATAGGGCTCCATGGGCTCGAAGCGCTGGTGGTTGAGGAACTCCAGGAAGTCGAAGGGATAACTGGGGAAGTGGACGCTGTCGTCGCTGCCGGAGGCTTCCATCTCCCCTATGGGGGGGTGGGGGGTGGGGGGCGGGTGGGGGGGAAGAGACCTGGGGGGGGGGGGGGGAAGGAAGAGGTTAGCAGCGGTATTTGGGATATAGGGAGGGGATTAGAGGGGGGAAAGGGAGGGTTTGGGGCTGGGTTATGGGGGTTTGGGGGGGGCTTTGTGGTCAGTGGAGGGTTTGGGGGCAATGTAGAGGTTGGGGTCAATGGGGGAGTCAATGGGGGGGTTGGTGGCAATGAGGGGGCAATGAGGGGTTATTGGGGGTAATGGGGGCTCAGTGGGGGGGGTGGTGTCAATGAGCAATCTGGGAGTCAATGGGGGGATTGTGTCAATGGGGGGAAATGGGGGTTAATGGGGGGGCTATGGGGGTTAATGGGGGGTTTGGAGGCAATGGAGGGGGTCAATGAGGGGGTTGGCGTCAATGAGGGGACAATGAGGGGTTATTGGGGGGTTGGGGTAATGGGGGCTCAATGGGGGGGGTTGGTGTCAATGAGCAATTAGGGAGTCAATGGGGGGGTTGTGTCAATGGGGGGACAATGAGGGGTTATTGGGGGGTTGGGGTAATGGGGGCTCAATGGGGGGGTTGGTGTCAATGAGCAATTGGGGAGTCAATGGGGGGGTTGTGTCAATGGGGGGAATGGGGGTTAATGGGGGGTGGGGTTAATGGGGGGCAATGAAGGGTTAATGTGGGGGTTTGGAGGCAACGGAGGGGTTCAATGGCGGGGTCAATGGGGGGATTGGTGTCAATGAGGGGACAATGGGGGGTTAATGGGGGGGTTGAAGGCAATGTAGGGGGTCAATGGGGGAGTCAATGGGGGGCTGCTGTCAAAGAGGGGGCAATGAGGGGTTATTGGGGTGGTTGGGGGTAATGGGGGCTCAATGGGGGAGTCAATGGGGGGGTTGGTGCCAAGAGGGGGAAGATGGGGGTTAATGGGAGGGTTGGGGTTAATGGGGGGGGCAATGGGGGTTAATGGGGGGGCAATGGGGGGGCAACGGGGGTTCATGGGGGGCAATGGGGGGGCAATGGGGGGTTAATGGGGGGGCAATGGGGGGTTAATGGGGGGCAGTGGGGGGTTAATGGGGGGTTCAATGGGGGGTTAATGGGGGGCAATAGGGGTTAATGGCGGGGCAATGGGGGGGCAACGGGGGGGCAACGGGGGGCTAATGGGGAGGCAATGGGGCTTAATGGGGGTGTCAATGGGGAAGTCATTGGGGGGGTTGTGTCAATGAGGGGGCAATGGGGGGTTAATGGGGGGGTTGGGGTCAATGGGGCTCAGCCCGCGATGGGGTTAGGGGGGGGTCACTCACCGGGAGGGTCGGTCCGAGTCACGTGGGGAGCGGGGGTGGTCACGT